ACGCCCGGCTAATTTTGTATTTTTAGTAGAGATGGGGTTTCTCCATGTTGGTCAGGCTGGTCTCGAACTCCCGACCTCAGGTGATCCTCCCTCCTCGGCTTCCCAAAGTACTGGGATTACAGACGTTATCCACCACGCCTGGCCGTCGACAAATTTCTTTTTTTTTTTGAGACAGAGTCTCGCTCTGCCGCCCAGGCTAGAGTGCAGTGGCCGGATCTTGGCTCGCTGCAAGCTCCACCTCCCGGGTTCCCGCCATTCTCCTGCCTCAGCCACCCGAGTAGCTGGGACTACAGGCGCCCACCACCTTGCCCGGCTAGTTTTTTGTATTTTTAGTAGAGACGCGGTTTCACCACGTTGACCAGGCTGGTCTCAAACTCCTGACCTCAGGTGATCTACCCGCCTCAGCCTCCTGAAGTGCTGGGATTACAGGCATGAGCCACTGTACCCGGCCACGACGTTGTCTCTGAATCAGACTCTAGGGACCTCCCAGGAGTGGAATCACACAGGATTTGTTGCGTTGGCATCTCTCCCTGAGCGTGACGTCCTCAAGGTGCATCCAGGCTGCGGCCTGTGTCAGAGCCTTGCTGCTTCCTGTGGCTGCCTCGTATCCCGTTGTGTGGACGGACCACGCTGTGTTTATGCATTCACCAGCGGACGGACATTTGGGTTGTTCTAGTTTTTGGTTTTCATGAATAAAGATACTGGCCAGAGGCAGTGGCTCACATCTGTAATCGTAGCACTTTGGGGGACTGGGGCAGGGGGATCGCTTGAGCCCAGGAGGTCGAGGCTGCAGTGAGCCATAATTGTGCCACTGTTCTCCAGCCTGGGTGACAGAACAAGACCTTGTCTCAAAAATAAATAAACTTAGGCCGAGTGCGGTGGCTGATGCCTGTAATCCCAGCACTTTGGGAGGCCAAGGCGGGTGGATCACCTGCGGTCGGGAGTTCAAGACCAGCGTGGCCAACATGGAGAAACCCCGGCTCTACTAAAAATACAAAAATTAGCTGGGTGTGGTGGCGGGCGCCTGTAATCCCAGCTACTCGGGAGGCTGAGGCAGGAGAATCACTTGAATTCGGGAAGCGGAAGCTGCAGTGAGCCGAGATTGCGCCACTGCACTCCAGCCTGGGCGACAGAGTGCGACTCCTTCTCAAATAAATAAATACATTTTAAAAATTAAATAAAAATAAACATGAGGTGGCTGGAAGAAATCGATCAGCAAAGGCTGCACTCACCTGCTGTGCCCCATGGTCTGGGGGCTCCCACTGGCAGGGCCAGGCCGGGGTTAGTTCAGGGAGCCCGTGGGTCACGGCCGGTCCGGGGTGAGTTCAGGGAGCCCGTGGGTCACGGCCGGGCC